AGGAATGCCTGCTTCCTTATCAAGTTGCTGAAATGCTGAGCTAATTCTAAGGTATGATGAGTGGAAGGTATTCCTGCCAGCTCTTGCTTGTTGTAGATGGTCTGCAGGTTTTTGCTTGAATTTGTGGTTGCAGGTGGCTCCAGGGCACTTACATCATGGTCTTGTTCTAGTTTCTTAGAAATAAACACCAGCAGTAAGCATACGTTTTTCCAGATATCATCATATCGTGTAGATTCAGATCCTTTAAATATGAGATACTGACATAGACTATCCAGCAGGAGCATCTGCATGTCACTATATTTGTTAAAAAATGAACTGAATATGAGCTTTGCATGCAAGAAGCACAAATAGCATAGTTCAAAAGACTTTCAGGAAGCGGCATCTGTTTATACAGTTATCTTATGGAAACTTAACTTTTCCACTCCTCCCCTTTTCTGAGCCTGATGCTTAAACATGTTAGGCTCTGTATATTTTGCAAGTGTGTCTATTCCAGAATTTCTCCCTCTCCTGTTGCTTCGTTTCCTCTCCTGCCCCTGGGTGGCAGGTGTGTTTGTGCCCTCTCTGGTGGGGCTGAGCAAGAGGCCTCGGGACGCCTAGTTCCTCTCTTCCTTTTTTCCACCAACTCCGTTTAGAATTGACGCTTGTCTTGTTTCCCATCCTTCCCCTAGCCCATGAAATCTCTCATCCACCTTTTCTTGGTTTTGCTCGGTGCGTCAGGGTATGTAATCACAGAAAACAGCATGTGCATGACAGGGTATCTTCAAAATTGCTCAGCTGAGGAAAGCTGAAGAGGAAGTGAAGGATGGTTTCCCTTCTGACCAGAGCTGTACAATCTCCCCTAGAGGTTTTCATGGAAGAACTTTATTAGAATCTATTGCAAAGGTAGTTGAACAAAGCGTGCTGACAGGATGCTATTGAAAACGGCCTCTTTAACTTCATTATTGTGTGAAACGTGGTCGCTCTCTGCTGACATTTTGTCTTCAGAATTTAAGCTATCCTTTAGGCATTCGCAGAAAAGCAACTGGAGACTCTTTTCCCTTTCTTTCCTGTTTCAGAAGCACAGTGGAAGTGCATCATCTTGTGTCGGTCCTTAGGAGTGTGTTATAAACTGATCGTCAAGTTCAGGAGCAATGCACAGCCACAGAATATAATAGTTCACTGTATCATTGCCATGATATGAAGTTTGCCTAGATTTTCACTCATGAAAGGTCTGTGTTCATCTTAAAGGATGATGGAAGGGGCAATTTAAAAAAGGAGAGAAATTGAGTAGCTGTTCTTATACTGGGGCTCTGTAAAAAAAACTGGGTAGCAAAGAAGAATTCTGTAACCAGTTAAAAAATCGACATTTCAGAGAATTAAGTGCCCACTACATGACTTGATTAGTAAACTGTTAGCACCCCTGTTGTCATAGCAGCTGAGGTCTCTTGCAACCACATTCCTGCCAGTTTAACTGTGACTTGAAAAATGACTGAGACATAGCATGAGGCCATGCTCACGCCTTGCTTTTTCCTTTGGGTCAGCTCTGTGCACCTCCTGCTCTCCCTGGAGATGTGCCCCTCCGCAGGAGGGACGCCCAAAGCAATCTAGACACAAAACTGTCTGTTCGCTTCCTCTGCCACTGTGTGCTGAACTCTGGCCTTCCTGGGATACCCCCACACTGACTGAACACTTGGTATGTTTTAAAATGTGTTGGTTCCTACAGACCTACAGAAATATGTCATTAGATTTTCACTGATAAAATGGATCCTACATCCCATTTCTAGCCCATTGCCTGGTAATACATATGTAAATGTACTGTGAAGTGGAATTAATTGCTCCAGATCTCTCTGCTGAATTATTGCTTTGGGCTTTAATAGGTAAGCCTAGTAAAATTCCATAGCACATTAGAGATTGTGCCTAATAATTTTGCATCTAAAGCAGTAGCATGTCAATCTTCCAGTTCCTAGTCTATCTGCATTCACTCAGGCCCCTTTGGCAGGCTTATTACTTGCTGTTTTTGTGGTTTCTTCAATTTGATCGCTGACACTGGAATATGAATGAATATAATGTAGAAGATAATAAGTTTCTTTGCCAAGAAGTAAGCTAGGTATTTGGCTCTTGGCCTCTCTTGTTTGGCAGGGTCATTGGAAGGCCATGCAAAAGCATGTTAAATCCTGCAGTGGCAAAAATTCTTAAAGGGTTTTGAGAGAACATGAAATGGCAGCGAAGTGGAAGGTGAGTTCCTGTGCAGTGACGACTACAAGAGAAAGCAGTGAGAGTTTCCCTTTGCAGTTCACTGGTTTGACTGTAGAAGACAAAAGTCTTTGGATTCTGGATATATTAAAGCATATTAACTTTTTTCTCCTCTATATACACAGGAGGCAGACAGTGGAGAAGAAGAATGCCGGTCCCAGCCCAGAAGGTAAGAGTATGATTTGAGGCTTGTGGGATGCTTTTCTTAGTGAAATGTCTCTCAGTTGTAGTGTTTGGTTTTTTTGTGCTGTTTTTTCTTTTTCTTTTTCTTTTTTTTTTTTTAATCCCCCGACTTTTGCATCATTTCTACCTATTGCTAATCTTACAGAATTGTCTCATCTTGACTTTACTGAAAAATTAATCTGCATAACCATGATGTAGGTGGTGCCCCAGTAAAGGGGTTGCTGCAGCAGGCAGAAGGCAACAGGGTAAAAAGTCTGGTCATACACGCACACACACAAAGGGTGGGGATCAGTTCTAAAAGATGTCAGGAAATGTCCTCCTCAAATTGCTGCTTACGTCCAAGAGATGGTGTCTCACCTGGGGCCGTGTTCTAAATAAGATGGTGATACTCCACTTCTCTGCATGTGGAGACTTTGCTTATGCCTCAGGAACAAATCCTGGTTGTTTTATTCCTTAGCTTCCATTTATGTTGTGTGCCACTTCTCAGGATTTGAGCCATCATCAGAACAGCTCTGAGTGAAATAGCTGTATTAGTAAACTTTTGCTCTATGGTCAAAAGATCTTCCTGGTGCCATCATGATCTGATTTGCATTATCTTAGCTAGCAGGTTGAGTACAGGAGAGACTTTAGCAATGCTGGTCATCCTCTAGCTGTGTTTCTTCATCTGGTTATGTCCTCCTGTGCATCTTTGGCATTTGTGAGAAGTTGTATTTCTAGAAGCTGAAGTACAGGGTGACCATAGGCCATAAGGGCATCTGTGGCTTAAAATAGCACGTTCACTGGGTATGTAGATATTCATTGCTGAACGCTACTGCCTAATAGAATTTCTGCTCCGAGGACAGAAGACTGAGAATCCGCAAGATGTTTTTTTTTCTTTTTTTTTTTGGGATTGTTTTGGATAGAGTTGTTCATTCATGTAAAGTTTCATTTGCTTCAGGAAAAACTCTTTTCTGGCATATACTTATCCATTTAAAGGAAAAAAAAATCAAAACTCAGCTGATTAAATGATGACAGGTACTGATGGCATTTTTATAGTGTATTCCTAGTCTTAAGGGTAGATTTCTTGAAGTCTTGAAAACTTTGTCTCCTATTCCTTAAGCCATCGAACGAATTATTTCATCTAACCTTGCTATAAACCAAACCTGTGTATATAACTAGGTAACTTCTTGAGCAGCAGGAGCACTTTCTTGGCTTAAAATGTTGCAGTCAAATTTTATGAAGGGAATAAGATCCCTTCCAGAGGGAGTAAAAGAAAAGTAAAGGTGAAATAGTTCTCCTTTTGTGAGCTCTCTGGGTGTTATAGTTCTGTATTTAATATTGTTTGTGTTGGTGGGTAATGATGGAAGCAGTAATTTCTACCATTTGAAAGGCTCGAACAAGCCTTGGGCTTTGGTTTTAGGATCAACTTGGAGGAAGCAGCAAAAGTTGTCACGGTTGCACATTCCGATGACTTCAGCGTAGTCCTACAGTTACTGGTGTGGCTCTGGGAAGGGGACTGATCTCTTTCCTTCACTCTTCTTCCCTTTTATGATGAACTGCGAATCTCTATTTCTTCATTTTACAATTTTCATGGCTGAGAGGAAAGCTTGAAAACACAGTGCCCAAAGGCTCAAACTGAACTCGGTTAAACTCCAATTTTTAATTTCACTCTTAGCTAGCCTTCCAGCAGTCACAAGATCGACTCATGACTTGATCTTAGGATATGCAATATATTGGAAGAGGTGAGAGGTAGTTAATCGTTGTGGGCACTTAGTAGCAATTCTAGGTTTGAAATAAGCATTTTGTATGTATTTCAAATAACTTCCTGGGATAGGAAATAGCAACCTGCTGTTGATGTGGTGATCATAGCTCTGTGACTCCTGTTGCTGGGGTGAGCAACCTAAACCAAGATCCTTCTTAAGAAAAACAAGGGGGTGGGTGTAAAATGTATTTGATTAGAGTACCATAAATATTAATAGCGAAATATATAAGTCATCAACCTGAAATCTTGCTATGCAGGAGGAGCAGATGTCTGTAAACAACTTTTGATTATATCTATGCAGTCCCCAACTGGATAGCAAGTAGTGTCTATTAACAGCCCAGACAGTAGAAAGGCCTGAGTTTGGCTTTAAAAGAAAAAGTATAGTAGCAGCTGCAATATAATCCAAGTCACCCTTTCCAGCAGTTTGACATTCCTAGCTGCCTGTCTGGGCAAGGCCTGGCTGGTGATGCTCTCCTGAGGCATAATTCAGGTGACTTGGCTGTGGCTGCAGTCAGTCTTGAGGGTGGGATTTTTTGCTATTTTTAAAATTCTTCAGAAGAATAGGAGTCCGTTTGTCTCCTGAACTCAGTAAAATGCGTTTAAACCCTACCTCCAGGTAGCACTGCTTTCACCAAGTGTGTCCAAACTCAGCACATTAACAGGGCACTGTACGTGAGAGTTACGCTGTGGCTAAAAGCCTAGTGCGGTAATAACACATTAACGTTTATTAAATAGCATGTTCATGCGTAGAGATATTAATGCTGAAGTCTTGGTTGAAAAGGGTTTGGCTTAAGCTGTAGGCATAAGCACAAAGATGTGTTTGATGTCAAAAGATTTTTGCAGCGATCAGTCTTGAAGATCATCAAATGCAGCGTGCGTTTCCATCCTCTTCCTCCCTGTGCCCTTCTGCACAATCAGGTGATTGCTGTTTCAAATGAGACAAATGTTCCACGTTGGGCTAGCATATGGCTAGCAATTTTTGACTACCTTTTGTTAGGCTGCCACTGTTACCTTTTCTGTCTGAGATATGGGATGTATCAAGATGAAGGAGAACACCTGGAAAGGACAGCAGGATGTCAGCATGCATGACTAGTGCTTGTTGAGCAGAGGCTATGAAGAGGCTATGAACCAATCCAACATGTCCTCCAAAGAGGCAGGGAGAAGAGTTTCAAATATGAGCTTAAACTTGTAGATAGGTCCATCAAGAAGATCATACGGAAAATAGTTTATCTGGGCCCTGACCTGTTCATGCTCTTTAAGATGTAACACTGCAGAGCACTGTAATTGCATGGACTATCTCAATTCTCACGGAGACTTGCAGACCATGTGATAATGCTATTAAACCTAAACCTATTCTGCAGAGCAGTCAAATGACATGACAAGTCTGTGCTTGCCTCTTTGGGGTTTGCCTGCATGAAAAGCACAGTTTGGTCTGTCCACTTCCCCAGCATTGCCTGGCCCTCAAGTTCTCTCCCAGAATGTCTGCTCCTTCCTTAGATGCTGTTAAGATTGCTTCTGCCATCACTGTCCAACAGAGGATGAGGAGTTTTCTTCTTTGTGGATTAGCAGAATCCAATTAAAGCTCTTCCCCTCAAAATGGAAGGAGCTGTTGGGTGTGCAGAAAGAGTTTGCAGGTGCTCTGCATTTATCTGTGGAAGATGCTTGAAACAGCACTCTTTCTGGCAAAGTTCTTTGTACCCGCACAAAGAGGAATGGTTTGTTTTTCTGCGTGAGGGGAAATAGTTGGGCATAGTCAACGCACCTCTAACTTCTATGGAGACCTCTGTGCGTTACTGAAAACCTCAGCAGATTAGTACTCCAAATACCTGAAGCTGAGCAAATAAGTGAAAACCATCTTGGCTCCGCCACTCTTTAAGCTATTTAGAATTTTTCCTCAGATACCCTAGCCCCACTCCAAAGGAAGCCCAGGAAAGTCTCTATACCCTGCAGTAGCTGTGACCAGTCTCCTGGTCCATGGGTGAGGTCTCAGAACCCTTAATGTGGGTTCCAAGATCTTGCTCTGGAGTCTCCCATCGAGCCAGCCTGTGTCCTCTATGTCTAGCTCTTGGTTAGCAGGACTTGTATAGAGCTACTGGATGATCTGTTTTTGTTATCTTCATGGTGATCTACCCATTTTCATTAGGGTTTTGGAGGCTGTTACAGCTAGCTGGCCCACTCGTTTCTGCCTGTGTCCCCAGACTTGCTGCTGCTCTAAATGGACTTTTAATGGAGTATCTGTTTTCACAATCTCTCTACATCATGATTTTGTTAGAACTTACCTAAAATGCCTGTTTATTAAGCTTTCTAAGTTGTGTTTACACCAATTGCCTATTAACGTTGCAATTTTTGTGCGCTCTTTGTACCCAAGGTTGCAAGGATTCAGCATCTTTGTTTTGCTGACGAAGGACATCTCCAGGGCCCTGGGGCAGTAGTGTTGCTGCAGTCTGCGCTGGATCTGCTGTCAGATTCTGTTAGCGGCTTTTTGGGGTTAGGTTTAAAATGGTGCCTCCATTTCCATGCTATCTGTGAAATTATCACTTGTGTGCCTTGAAACAGCACTAGCTGCTGAAATGCGGCGTTTGAGGCTGCGTGGGAACTGCTGCATGCAGAACTAATAAGCTGTATGGCCTAGCAAGGCTGCCTTAGTACTTCAGAGGAATTCTTTGAACTTTTATGGTCTGCTACTTGGTCAGACTAAAGTCGGTTTGCATAGCTAAAGCTCAGTCCCTGAGGAGCTTGTCATTGCCTTGAAGTGCTATAGAAAGCATACTTTAAATGTGGATGTTCTGTTACCTGACAATGTTTTCAAAAAGTGCTTTTTCTCCCCTCTTCAGATGTGGGGGTGAGGGGGGGTCGGGGAAAGATGTTTTAGTTTTAAGCCTATTGCAGTCTTAAGTATGCTTACCTTCTGGTTTGGTTTTTTAGTTAAAATAATTCCTTCCAGGAGTGAATTGGGAAGGACAGCAAATCAGAGCCAAGATGCCTCAAGGTTTCAAGATGTGAGTAAATACCTTTGTTTTAGGAGTGGAAGACCACAGTTTAATGCAGAAGCTTATGGTTAATAATAGTATAAAAGTTGTTTTAAGTATCTTGATAGTGAGTGTAATTTACACATGTGTTTCTTTGTATAGGACAACTACTCAGTGAATTGTAATCCTACTTTTTGGATCTTAAACTGAAACCCATTGTAGACTTCTTACTACAAGTTTTGGGTTATGGCAAATGTGTGTTAAGTACTGGAAGAG